TGATGACGAGGTCAATTCGTCGTGCACATGCCAAGCATGTGGGGGGCTGCCATCTGACATGGATTACTACATGGAGTGGCTAGAGGTATGGGACCGGATTAGATGTGCAGCGTACGCTCTGGAGGAAGCGGGATACGACGTCACCCCGTGCGTCGAAGCAGTGGTGGACACGATGTCGATGCCCGGGGTGGACGAGGAATGGGCATCCCCGGGGGTATTCTCTATCGATTGTCTCACGATTGAGGACGCTACCGGCTCGGACGGTAGCTATCACAACGACGACGCGTGCGCCTACCCCGGCACGACGCGTTCGGCAGCGGAGATGTTCGATGAGGACACAGCCAGCCCCGTTGATACCGAAGAGTGCCTCCTTGGCTTGGCTTTGCAAGGGCTTGACCCCTTCGAAAGCACAGACTGGGGCGGTATATCGGTGTGTGACTCGACGCTCGCAGTGGGTGGTGACGTTGTCACCAACTTCTGTACGCCGACCGTTTCGTACTCTTCACCGATCTGGACGTACACGTGCATATGGTCAGTGCTCGATTGCACCGTATATACTGATGACGAGGCCAATTCGTCGTGCACATGCCAAGCATGTGGGGGGCTGCCATCTGACATGGATGACTACATGGCGGAGCTAGAGGTATGGGACCGGATTAGATGTGCAGCGTACGCTCTGGAGGAAGCGGGATACGACGTCACCCCGTGCGTCGAAGCAGTGGTGGACACGATGTCGATGCCCGGGGTGGACGAGGAATGGACATCCCCGGGGGTATCCTCTATCGATTGTCTCACGATCGCTACCGGCTCGGACGGTAGCTATCACAACGACGACGCGTGCGCCTACCCCGGCACGACGCGTTTGGCAGCGGAGGTGTTTGGAGATGGTGTGGTAAACCCCACACCAGCACCGGGAGGCGTTTATGCTCCGACAGCAACGCCCGCGCCGTCACCGGCGGCTCCTCCAGCCGCAGAGGGCGCCCAAGGAGATGCCGTGACCCCGATACCCATGGGAGCCATCCCGTCGACATCTTACCCAAACCAAGCTGCGGAAGTTGTGGAGACCCTGAACCCGTCGCCTGAGTCGCAGGCATCGACCGCAAACAACGGCGACGCGGACGGGAAGACCAGTGACGAAGGGTTGACAAAGTCGGAGGAGATTAGTTTGGCAGTGGTACTATCTGTGTTTGGAGCAGTGGCTGGTCCCCTCTTCGGTTGGGCCATAAAGAAGTGGTGTTCTGGGCGAAGAGAGGCCAACTCGTAAGAAACACCTATCCTGGGTGAGGCTCAAAGCTTATTGTAGTTCCTAGAGCGGTTGAGCGCAGGATTATGCTACGCTACCGTACACGTAGGGTTGTGTCTGATGCCGGCGGCTGCGCCAAGTTGTTTTCGCCATTTTCCTTGTCTGCTTCGAAAATCTGGGCATTAATTTGTGAGATGGCACGCGTTCCCTTCAATCCGAAGCGTATGGATGAATCAGTACGTTGTCTGCCTGCACGAACGAATAAACTAAGAGAGCAATTTTCGGTCTAGACCCTTGTGATGATCGGCATGGCGCCATCCCGAGGCAGGCCTGCGACCGCGGAGTGTCGTTTGTTTATCCGGAGGCCTTCGCTGGTCGGTCTTGCGCTACATGTTAGACTTAGGAAACTCGCCGAATGCTCGCATTGCCCCGTATTCATTTGCGACGTCCTACAACGTTCATTCAGCCTCACGGATTTCCGGTGTGGATCCGTCGTCCTGTTGGAAACAACGTGAAGTTGCCCTCGCTTTGCGAACTACAGTGTGGTATTCGTGTCAGGCCTCTACTCCGTTGCAATCCTCTTGTGCTTTAGCACGCTTGCGCCCGATGCCAGGGACAACCAATAACTGGTGAATGTGTTCATCGTCCCAGAGGCTTTCACCGAAACGGAAATTTGGGCATGCTCCTCGTACCCTCCAAACAAACCACCTGGGCATGGCTCCGGTTAATACCGACGGTGTGTGGTAGAGTGAAGGGCAAACGAGAATTCGAGCTCGTAGACCGTGAGGCATGCTACAGGAAGGATGCCTTGTAACAGCCATGCAACAGGAAGGATGCCTTGTAACAGCCCCCCTATACTTTCTCAAAGCTCATCACCGTTTCAATGGGTCGGTCAGCACGTTTTGTGACAAATGCATTGTTCTGTATTGGACAGGACAAGACGGTAATTGTGCCAATATGTTTCGTGCCGGACGCACACCAAGCCATATTATGCACGCCCACTGAGAGACATGTACCGGTGTATACAGCTTGGTGTCATATCTGAATAGGAGGCATCTCTCAGCTGTCGTCCTCGTCGTTCTGGTCGCAGTCGTTGTCACGGTCATATCAGCAACCACACCACAGTGTTCATCATCGCCGGGACGGGCATGATCTCTTCTCCACCGCTAGTGCAATGTTTTGGAGCAGCGATGGCGTGGGACGCACATCCGTCACAAAAAGCACGCGTCGCACGTGGGCGGTCTCTCTTTAGACCTACCGCAAGCTGCGGAGTGTTGGCCCCGATGCGGGATAAACAAGTTGTGCCGAAAAACGACGATTCTGTGGACTGGTCGGGCGGGGAGGGGGGGGGTGGCTTTCTCTGAATATCGACCCCACGGGGCCACTCTTCCGCACTGACAATATTCCGGGTCCAAAGTGGGGTTGTGGGGGTAGCTAGCTCATGGGGTGGCGGGACAACCTACCACAGGTCACGAAATGGATTAGCTTCGCGGTCGCACGGCCTCCAAGGCTCCTACAACCAAGACCCAATCCTGATTACCACGGTACATGTATTCTGGATTAGGAAACGTCCTGCCCCCACCCGGCCCCTAGAGTATTCTCTGCAGGGCCACTAGGTTATTCTCCCAGAGGCCAGCTCGACGATGGGGGTTCCTTTGTTCTTTTTTCGTGTCTCTGGATCTCGACCGAACGGGCCCAAGCTTGCTAGTGGACTAGTGGTTGGGTCTAACGCAGCGAGAGGAGGCGCAATTCAGGGCGGGGGAGCAGCTTGCCAAATACTACGGCACAGGAAGACCTAAACCATTAAACTGTCGGGTACTAACGTCGGAATTCTCAAAGGATGCCTTCATCACCAAAAACGTGCTACTTCAGTCTCCGGAGATGCAAAGTTACATTCTTCGAAAGGTGAACCCGCACTGGCTTTCGTCAGCCATCTTTTCGGATTAAAAGCCAGCCACACTCTGATCATGGCGGTTCTTCATGTTACGGTTCGAGACTGGAAAGTTGCCCACGATGGACACCTTACCCGTGCGAAGCAATCACAGGTGGACACCGCTTCGGGGAGGCACACATGAAACCGCAAGGAACGAGGCAAGAAAGGCCAACAACTTCGACATGACGAAAGATAAAGCGGCTCCTCCATGGTACGCTAGTCTCCAAGTCTCTTCTCGTTGTGATCACTCGATCCCTGTGGGGTTGTCAACCACACGAGCGCGCCAACCACGAGCGGGGCTCCCACGGCAAAACTAAACGATATTGCACCCTGGCCCCCAACCACGCGCACACAATTCCGACTGCCCAACGCGCACAGTTCTATCTCCCCCACACCGTCCCTCATTCTACTCCTCCGTGAATCTAGCCTCGCCGATCTCGACCCATCCTTTCTCAACAGGGCAAGCGCCGAAAAAAAAGGACAAGAAATACTGCCCCCCGCCCCCCTCTTTATCGCAGTCACGGCCGCAACCAAACGGATTACAGTCTTTGCCGTGTCATTGTGCCAATGAACCGGCTAGAAGGATCAGCAGCCGTGGCGGAGCGACAAGCAATGGCGGTGGGTTGATATGTGCTGCTGCTCCCCTGCCTTAAGACACCCTATTGTACGCCATGCACCACATCTATCTGTCCCCCGCACACAACGGGAAAAGGGTATTTCTACACACACAGTCACGGTTCACGTCGCACAAATGTACAGTCATACGCAACACCTAATACTGCAAGGGTAGAGCCCATGTGAGCCAATCAAATCTGAGCAGAACTTCTGTAAACTGACGTCGGAGACGTCGAAGCCGTTTTATTTCGGTGAAGCATCATCTAGCGTGAGGATATGCCCTTCCTTTCGCGCCTGGGTTTGCACAGAAAGTCTGGCGGACACGATCCGGGAAGGAGACGGGGATACCCATCAAGACAGAGGGGGAGGGGGGGCACGAGGGAGAGTCACGAGGGAGAGTCAACGAGAAGCCCGGCGAGTGAGTACCTCGTCGAGAACGAGATGGCGGAACCCCCGGTTGCATGGGAAGGTCGTGGAAAGTCCCAAGCACAACATCGACGCGATTCGTGGTGGAAGGCCGAGACAACAAACCTAGACTTTCCTTCCTGCTGCTCAGATATCAACAGAACCAGGATTCCTACTGCCCAGATAGAAGCAGGAGTAAAATGGTCCACTGTCCCTTCTGAGAGGCCAGTTCACCTGCATCTGCACAGGCAACTGCGTGAGGGTAAAAATCCGCCCAAGCCGTGTGTTGCGTTTTTCCGGACTACCCATTGGTGTGAGTCGCCACTGCGTGCGTCTCGTGGCGAAACTAAAGTTACATACATTGGACCTCCGAACAAATCGAAAGCGAAAATCTGCAGCGGGTGCCGCCACCATGTTGGAAATGCGAATTTCTTCAAAATGTGCTGGAGTAAAGTCAAGTCCGAACACGGGTGCGTACTTACTGACGAATCGCATGCACTTGAGTTGAAATATCGGTTGTAAAAAGTTCAACATAGTCAAGTGCCCGAAAGATCTTCGCTGATACACGCGACGGTTCGGCGGCTGGGCAAAGCACGGCGGGTACTGCAAAGTACAGCGAGCGCGACCTCGGTCTACATTTCGCCAACACAGAGCACCACGTCGAGCAGGGACTACTTGTATCCAACGTAGAAAAAACACGAAAGGGAGGTCTCGTGTGGCCTCGAGTGGGGTTAACCTTTACAAGAGGAGGGCGACACACGGAGTCGCTGGCTACATACAGGTGTAGAGGAGCAGGCGATTCGATCAGGTCACTATGGCGCAGTAGTTGGGAATGTCGTTGCGGCGCAAACAGCGCAACAAAGACCTGGGCGATGTGGGTTGCCGTATTCAGCAAAGGAGAAGCATATTGGCATCGCAGGTGAAGACAGATGGAAACGGTTCAACGAACACGTGGATGACAATCATACCTGATAATACCATCTCTGACGTCCGCCGCGGGCGCCAGCGTCTTGAGCGCATCGAGCGTGGACAGGAGCTCCGTGTCCTCGCGATCTCCGTAGAAGCTGGAGATGTGCACGCCATTCTCCAGATGGTATCGAATAGCGTCCAGAGAATTGTCCACCATAATGACCTGGTCGAATCGAACGGCGTATGTCCGCACTTGTCGTGTGAAAAAATAAAGACATGTACAGAATTTTCTTGCATGTGCGACTATACATGGGAGTCCTTCGACAAGACATGCAAGGCCGGACGGTTAGCAAAAGCTCAAAGCGACGCCACGGGATAACAAATATTACTACGCTGTGCATGCACAACGAGTTGCAGGATTCCCGGCAAAAAAGCGTAGGTGTATGATAGCTAGCCTGCTTTCACTGAAAAAAATTCCTTCACAGAACTCCACAACCATCTTAACCTTGCCGGTGTTTCACGCTTTTACTAGGCCGGATCTGAACCGGAGTGGCCGGATGTGAACGAGTTGCACACCAAGGCTTCGCTTTCAGCCAAAGACTTCGTCCGGAAAGATCGACAGCACTAGCACTCTCGGAAACTTGTATTCATGCTTGATACTTGATGCGGCCACCGCTGCAATAGCTTATTTGTGCAATATCCCGTGCTCAATCGTACATGCATACGCTGCCACGATGAGTCCACATTCTAAAGTATCAGTATTATTTTGGTTGGCTATCCCGAACAATGTATTTTGGTTGACAATCCCGAACACTCAGCATGTACAATGGCCAGACATGTGGACGGATAATAGTTTATGTATGCATACTTGTAGAAGGGATACCCCGAAAAGCATTTTACACTAAAAACAAACAAATCAAAACTCCCGTGGGATGAAATCGTCCGACGCCGCAAGACTACTACCCTTGATCCCACCGAGAATAATGGTACCCGCGGTACACTAGAAGATGCTGCATGACACGTGTCTTTTATTACCCGTCACGTGCATGCGTGCTTTCTACATACTGGGTATGTAGATACGCTGTAGATATATCTCACCTTGGACAACGGCCGTCCAATGATCCCGAGATCCTTCACCATCGACGTCGGGCCTCCTCGCCTCTTCCTCGACAGGTCGCTAGAAACGCCCCTCGCCTTGTCCCCGCCTCTCCCACCCCAACCCCTGCAACTGCTGCTGCTGCTGCTGCTGCTGCTGCTGCTGCTGCTGCTGCTGCTGCTGCTGTCGCTCCTGCTACTACTGCTACTTGTGCCTCTAATGGTGCTGCTGCCTAAGCGCGTGCAGTTGTCCCTCGACAAAACATGATCCACGAAAGACCCCTGGGGATCTATCTGCTCAAGCACGGCCGTCGCGAACGCTTCAGGCGCGGCCGTGAAGAGCACCACCTCGAACATCTCGGAAACGGCCTGCAGGAACTCGCGCAAGTGCGGCCGTTTCCGCACGTAGACGCGTCGGGGCGTCTGCCCCTCGTTGCCCAAGCCTCCGCTTGCTCGTGCTGCGACCCTCCTCATGCGTGGTACCAGCCCTCGGCTCCTCCTCCTCTCTTCTTGCGGTGGTGGCAGTTGGTGTTGGAAGCTCAGCATGAAGTCGAACCTCTGCTCCTCTCCCATTTCCCTGGCGTCTCCCCTGGCGAGGATGAGCGTCTCGTCGAGATCCAACACCAGAGTCTTGTCGGTCGCACGCGCCCGGCTTGTTGTACACGCAGGAGGCAGCAGTCCTTCGTTCTGCTTGGTCGTGCTGCTGCTGTTGGATGGTGGTAGTTTCCGACCCCAGCATGAAGTGCAAGTACGTTTTGTTGCAACCGCCGCGGCGGCGGATTTATCTGCACCAGGGGGGGCAACAATTGGTGCTGTGGAAGCTGAGGCAGCCTTTCCTAGCTCCGTTGGCAATGGCGATGGCGATGGGGACTTTGGTGCCGTGGTAGGGCTTGCGGTGCTCTTGCTCCCGCTGTACAAGCTCTCCAACTCCAACTGGAGCTTCTCTCCAAGCGCGAGAACGTACGCCCAGGCCATCAGCAACGGCAGAAGCATCGTGGAAGAACTGCTTCTTCTGCTGTTGGAAGAAGAAGGAGTGGACGGCAGTTGGCTCCGCAGCGTCCATCTGCACACCATGGCTGCCGATATGACCGGCACAGCCGCTGCGATCGCTTGTTCCGGGAATCTGCTGATGTGGTTCCGCTCGAGTTCGAAAAACGACAACGCAAAAACGACAACGCCCGCAGTTGCGTCTCTCAATAGTTCCGTTTTACACGTCAAGGAATGTCGGGACGACGGAACAACACTTCGATGACGCAACTTGCGATTCTGCCATTGATCGGAGGAGGGAAAAGGAGAGAACCGCTACGGTGCCCTTGCTCGTTCCCTTCACCTGGCCGTTAGGTGGCCTTGTCAACAGGAGGCTCGGGTGCAAGGGGCTGCATGGACTGAATGCTTCTTGCGTTTCAGTAAAACGGACACGAGGTGCTGCTACGCGGTCGAATAATCGAGATCTCCCATCACGATCTCCGAAAGATGACCATCTCCGAAAGATGACATGACGAGTGACGAGATGACAAGGCGTGGATCTCCATATCTCCATGAACCAATAGCCCGACATGCCGAAGCGTGCGGGAGGCGCAAGATTGAAATTGCAAGGTTGACTACGCGCTCCTTGGTCCCTATTGCTGTGCTGTGGGAACATGGTGCCACATGTGCATCTTCGTGATATCTCGTACACAGTTTTCGTATTCTCAGGGACTTTCTTCAGTAACCAGGATCGTGAGAGTCTCCCGTCATGTCCGTCTGCATACGACGAAGAAGTCCCGGCCCGCAAAATGCATGGCGAGATTTCGTTTCAAGTCCATGCAACAAAATGGAAATATTGTAGCTCTGACGCTATGAATTCATTGGTAATCTATCTTAGACTCTTTTTCGTAGGTAGAGATGGATTCGTTGGGTCATATTGAGAAAAAAAAAAAGAAGTGAACCTCCACTCACTTCAACGCGTCCCTTTCGACTGAGGTTATATCTCGAACGGGTAGTCTTTCTATGAGGTTATGTTTATTTTATTAAAAAAAGTAAACAGCAGGAGTAGTCAGTGCAGCCCACAACATGGATGGATATCGATGAGGCTCAGATTTTGGAAAACTAAGAGAAAATGGCGTAAAAGTTTGGGCTCAGCCACCAGCATACATAGTCAAAGTGCATTTGATTGTATGGACTCGTTGGTATGATATCATAGTATGCGATAGCTTAGCAGGACTACTAAATCGTTTTTCTGAAAAATGATATGAGCCCACATAACTCGGAACCGAAAAGTGGTGACTACTGTTAAGGGGACTAGCCCTGTCTCCGATGTGTGAAGAAGCGGGGTAGTCAAATCAATTAATACATGCACAGCAGTAGCGAAAACGCATTTGCAATCCCAAACATTCTTCCCGGCCTCGACCTCGATACCATCGTGTGCGGTACTGTATCAGAAAAAAACACCCATCTTTAGTCGGTGCGACTGAACCGACTCGCGTAGACACTTCCACTTGTACTAGGTTAGTTCCCATCTCCCCTCCAAACACCAAAACAGAGCGGCTTATAACGTCATTCAAGGTAGTCTGCAGTCGGGTTCAAGTCTTCAAAATTGCGAAAAAACGAGCCTCAATTCAGCAATCGCAAGGTTAAATATCTCTGCAGATGGCCGTTCGAAACCATTCCCACGAAGGCGACCACGCTGACTCTTGCACGAACTGCAACTACGCACTACAAGTTGTACTTCCAGGGCACTAATGGTTAATCTGCCAGACGTTCGAAACTTGTGCAAGTACAGAAGGAACCGGTTCACTGCTGCTTCCTTCTATTTAATCTATGGACGACGGTGGTTCGGCGACATGGACGCCCGCGTCGAAGCCGTCTCCGACAAAACCACCGAAAAGAACAAGCTTCTCGCCGCACCAAGTCAGCGTGTGCCCGTTCCTGCCCTCCACTATCGACTCTCCCGCAAATCCCATCCCCGCCTCGTTGACCCACTCTTTAGGGGCAAACCCGTCCGCATCGGCAGCGCCACTCTCTAAACTCAACCTCCACAGGTCATCGATGTACGCCATGATGATCTCGCCACCCTCCTCCTCCTCTTGCTCTTCCTCTTCCGCCCCGTCAACGACCATGCCGCCGCTGCTAAGCTCCACCAGCCCATACCCGCCGAACAAGAACAAATCGGCCCCGTTGTTGCTGCCAGTGTTTCCGTAGCGTTGCCTAGGTGTGACAATAGCAGCCAGCGAGCGCGGTGACGGCCCGACCCCGTCCAGCAACACCGACGACCACACACACCGGACCGCTTCTCCTTCGTCGCCGTCGCTTCCACCGCCATCAGAACCCGGACCCAAAGCCACAGCAGCAGCGGTCAGGTGAAGCACCCACAGGTCGTTCAGCGGCATCGTCTCCTCCTCGAAACCGTCGACGTGCCCAAGCCCCCCAAACAGAACCAAGGTCCCCGCCGAAGACGACGACGTGGTGGTACTGACGTCCGTCGAGCGTGCTGCGAAGGCGAGGCAGTGGGACGATCGGGGGCACGGGCTCGGGCCTGCTGCTGCTGCTGCTGTTGAGGTCGGGGGGGCGTCACCGGCCTCCTTCCAGGTCGCGGAAGTCGGGTGAAAGAACCAAACGTCACCAAGCAGAGAGCCGGAAGAAGACTCTCCGCCGTGGACAGCCTGAGTACACACGCATGAAACAGAGGCGGCGGGGTGTTCGATGGGAACGTCACGAGTCAATTCTTGATAGAAGTTTACGCTTGCCTTTTTCTCGTTTTGCTGGGGTGTTCTCGAGCAAGTTGCGACAAGTCCACTGCGACGCCAACACTGCCGTGTTTTTGTATTTAGTACTAATTAGTTTTGCGGCAGCCAACAGGTAGCGATGGCAAGTACGCCACTTCGTTCTCACTCACCAGCACTCCGCCTGCTCTGCACATGGCGTGGTTGGACCTTGCGCAAGGCACGACCGTCCTCGTCGATGCCCCGACGTGCTGTTGCAGGCCCTGTTCTTGCTCTCGGTACACCTCATGCCACGTCCGATTATCCACGTCCAAACACCTGTCAGCCATTTCGTGCACCACCGACATTACAGCAGCGGAGCAGACTCTGTCAGCGCAAGAAATTCTCGCGAAACGCTTTGCGCATACCGCCTACAGCCAAGTGACCACACCTCCGCTTCCACTCCTAGCGCACATGGTGCTTTAGAAGGGTCAAAATTTGAAATTTGGGTAACCTCCATCCAAGTACTCCGTGTCCATATCGGACTGAATCAGAGAAAGGATTTGAAGTCCCTCCAATTCAAATCCAACGACGCCAGCCGGGGGGGAATGTCTGCACCTACAAAAGAAGGGATAAAACTACTTGACAACATCTGCTTGGTAGCTGCGAAATGTTTCCGAAGGCACCTTCCGTTTTCCAAGATGTTCAGAAATCGCCTTCGAAGGGTACCAATGGCATTTCTTCAATCAAAATGCACAGGGTCGACTCCCAAAAAGAGGCCCCGTTTAGTGGTGTCTCTCGCAGTTTCAGCCAGGTCGAATCGCGGAGATACCGTCCGTCACAACACCAGCAGTCTCCAACAAAATCGCGCTAGGTCGACTTTAGGATTGCCGAGAAATCAAACCTCACCAAACGGCGTTCGTCGCGTTCCCTTCCGCATCCATACCGCCGAAGACGTAAGCGAAAAGCCCTTCTTCTCCTTCCCCCGCCTCCGTGCCCTGCGGCTGGGGTAGCGTCGCGCTCGGCAGAGGAGGGCCCGCGCAGCCTTTGGGTTTGCGGGTTGTCATTGTCGGGGAGAGGGAGAGGAGAGGGTCGCATGAACGTCATTACAACTCGGGTCTTCGATACTTGTGTCTCGGGCAAGGTGTTCCAACTTCGAGCTTCAACTGCTGTGTACCTCTGGATGAGAGGTTTGACGTGTACTATCCCGAGCGCAGCGACGAGAACATCAATAAAAATGCCACCACCAAATAGTATGGGGGTGATCGTTTGGCCTTGGGTCGCCCCCATCTTGTGCGTGATATTCTTGGCAATGCTCTGAATGTCCCCGACCACACGGTTGAGAAAACCAATCAAGTCTCATTG